ATATGCTCCGATTCTTGAGGGAAATCGGAGATGATGACTCTAATGAAATACTGTAAGACCATAATGGTCTTCTCCCTCACCTTAGGTTGCGTAAGCTCCGTTTCTCCGCAAAAGAGCCACATCTCCCTTCATCTCCTCCAACCTCCATTGTTGCTTTTTCACCTCCAAGCTTTTCCAAATGTGTCACCATGAAGCAAGAGGAAGGTTTTGATGAGTTTTGAGGCTTAGTGGAGGTAAAAATGGTCCATTTGGGTGGAGCCACCGTTGGGAGAGAAAGGGGTAGAAAGAAAATGAAGATTAGGGTTTCTAGATCTTTTTTTTTTCACTTTTATTGTCATAGCGATGAGTGTAATCGATTACCATATGGTGTAATCGATTACATCAGTTAAACGACTTGATGTAATCGATTACCAACATGTTGTAATCGATTACAATATGAAAAATTACACATGTCTGATCAGATATCAGAATGTAATCGATTACCAGTACCATGTAACCGATTACATCACAAAAAATTACACATATCTGATCAGATATCAGTATGTAATCGATTACCAGGATTGTGTAATCGATTACACTGTTTCAGAGTGTCCAAAATTGCCATTTCTCGCCCAGACAACTCTCTCTCAGGCGAGACTTCCAGGACTGATACTATAATTTTGAAGACTCAAATTTAGGGTGTTACAATCCTTCCCCTCTTATAAGAATTTTCGTCCCCGAAAATTAAACATACCTCGGAAATTAATATCATCACCTAGATCTTAGGCACAAGGATACTCCACCAAAATCATACTCGATTCTCAAATCCATTAAGATTACTTAGTCGGTCACTAAGGGCATACACCACTAAACCGTGATATCACTTCAACCAATTCATGAACTAACTCATCACTGTCCAACTATTAAAATCTCAGCCTCTAATAACTTGAATGCCATGAGAACTAAACCGTAATTCAAACTAAGGATTTTTTTCCCCTATATTCTTCAAGAACCATAGGTATCTAGCACCTATCCATCTATCAATCCTAACATACGTTAAGAATCCCGATAACACTCTCGAACTTCGGCGTATGGGGAACTCCTTATCCCATATCTATCTAAATGCATCTTTTAACATCCATCATACACTAGCTAGTTTCATATCCACTCGAGAATCTAGCACAATTTCATTTTACTCGATCCACAAAATACTTACACAATAGGACTCTTAGTGTCTCATCCATTGTACACAATCAAACTATCCAGTAATCGTCTAATTACATAAAATATTTCTACCATCACAATAGATCTCCCTGATTCATCACCACAACAATCGTTCAAAACGATTAACCTATATGGTCCGAATCGCAACAACACTCTCGAACCCAGTTCGAAGTGAGACTCCATACTCATCGCTCACCAAGATGTACTAGCTCGCACCCAAAAATGCAGTACCTAGATCGACATCCACTCGATGGAAACAACATCATTTCATTGCATACGTGCAAATAACTACGGTTCACTCAAAATTCTCCACTAACATTTCAATTTATACTTGCAACAATCACAGAAACATGATATTCATCCAAGCAGCATTTAGACAAACAAGACTCTTGGAGTCTTTCACATACCAATCAAAATCACCAAGTCAACATCCAACTCAACCCAACACTCCTACTACAACGAATCTGGTTTAAGACGATTTGCTAGTTCATAAATTTCAGCTAGGCATACAAGGTCGTAGACCCACTCAAATCGCATACGTTGTTACCATTGATTTTTGCCATTTACGAATATCCAATCCAAAAACTTGAGTTTTATATGGATACCCAAAATACAATGATGGACATGCACCTCGTGCTCAAGTCTACATCATATCGAGAAACACATGCTCATAATTACCTCACAAGAGTTTTAACACATCACATTCATCTAAGATGAAGTTTTTTAAAAATTCGGATTTCAACATGAAACTTAATCCATGCTTAGTCGAATAGTACACTTCATTCGAAAAACGATTTTCGAAAATAGATTAGATGTAAGTTTCATGGAAGTCCTCTTGTGGAAGCAGGGGTTTTCCTAATCATTTCAAAATAACTTAAAATCCTTTTTTTCATGCGACACCGACTGCCCAAATCAAAATTTTCAAAAGTTGGTTATTTCTGAAGTTACATTTCATCCAGGACATGAGAGTCCCCACAGTACACTCACAGAAACATGCTTACACCATAACACTGCAATCACGTATAACAATTACTAATGCACATGAAATATAAACAATTTTTGAAAGCACAATATCAAAGCAGTTAATTTGAGTTCATTACCACTATATTGTGCATTGCAAATGTTCAATTACAAACGGCCAATCATCACAGACCAGAAATTTCATGAACAAAAGATAATCCACTACCTCTTAGGGTAGACAATTCAACCATGGTCCACTACCACTCCGGCTAGGCAACTCAACAATGATCCACTACCGCTCCGGGTAGGCAACTCAACAATGATCCACTACCACTCCGGGTAGGCAATTCAGCAATGATCCACTACCGCTCCGGGTAGGCAATTTTCCTCAATGATCCACTACCACTCGGGTAGGTAATTTTCCTCAATGATCCACTACCACTCGGGTAGGAAATTTTCCTCAATGATCCACTACCACTTCGGGTAGGTAATTTTCCTCAATGATCCACTACCACGTCGGGTAGGTAATTTTCCTCAATGATCCACTACCACTGGGGTAGGTAATTTTCCTCAATGATCCACTACCACGTTGGGTAGGTAATTTTCCTCAATGATCCACTACCACTTGGGTAGGTAATTTTCCTCAATGATTCACTACCACTCGGGTAGGTAATTTTCCTCAATGATCCACTACCACTTCGGGTAGGTAATTTTCCTCAATGATCCACTACCACGTCGGGTAGGTAATTTTTCCTCAATGATCTACTACCACGTCGGGTAGGTAATTTTCCTCAATGATCCACTACCACTCGGGTAGGTAATTTTCCTCAATGATCCACTACCACTTCGGGTAGGTAATTTTCCTCAATGATCCACTACCACTTCGGGTAGGTAATTTTCCTCAATGATCCACTACCACTTCGGGTAGGTAATTTTCCTCAATGATCCACTACCACGTCGGGTAGGTAATTTTCCTCAATGATCCACTACCACGTTGGGTAGGTAATTTTCCTCAATGATCCACTACCACTCGGGTAGGTAATTTTCCTCAATGATCCACTACCACTTCGGTAGGTAATTTTCCTCAATGATCCACTACCACTTCGGGTAGGTAATTTTCCCAATGATCCACTACCACGTCGGGTAGGTATTTTTCCTCAATGATCCACTAGCACTTGGGTAGGTAATTTTCCTCAATGATCCACTACCACTCGGGTAGGTAATTTTCCTCAATGATCCACTACCACTTCGGGTAGGTAATTTTCCTCAATGATCCACTACCACGTCGGGTAGGTAATTTTTCCTCAATGATCTACTACCACGTCGGATAGGTAATTTTCCTCAATGATCCACTACCACTCGGGTAGGTAATTTTCCTCAATGATCCACTACCACTTCGGGTAGGTAATTTTCCTCAATGATCCACTACCACGTCGGGTAGGTAATTTTCCTCAATGATCCACTACCACGTCGGGTAGGTAATTTTCTTCAATGATCCACTACCACTCGGGTAGGTAATTTTCCTCAATGATCCACTACCACTTCAGGTAGGTAATTTTTCTCAATGATCCACTACCACTTCGGGTAGGTAATTTTCCTCAATGATCCACTACCACTCGGGTAGGTAATTTTCCTTAATGATCCACTACCACTTCGGGTAGGTAATTTTCCTCAATGATCCACTACCACGTCGGGTAGGTAATTTTTCCTCAATGATCCACTACCACGTCGGGTAGGTAATTTTCCTCAATGATCCACTATCACTCGGGTAGGTAATTTTCCTCAATGATCCACTACCACTTCGGGTAGGTAATTTTCCTCAATGATCCACTACCACTTCGGGTAGGTAGTTTTTCTCAATGATCCACTACCACTTCGGGTAGGTAATTTTCCTCAATGATCCACTACCACGTCGGGTAGGTAATTTGACAACGGTCCACTACCGCTCCGGGTAGGCAATTTAACAATGGAACAAGGTTGTTAAACCATTTTGAAATTCATTTTTTCTTTGCTGCATAACTTGAGCCAAAGTCGCTACACCATTTAAGGTTAGCTAAAAACGAGTTTTATTTCCATTGATTTCACCATAAATCGTTTTCCCGCAAATCGACACCCACTTTAGTATAAACACACCCATATATGTTTATACTAAATGCGTAATTCACAACTCCATCCTTACATAACCAGAAAATACACACATTTTCCATTTCCGTAAATCTACGCTCACTTTAGTATAAACACACCCATATATGTTTATACTAATTGCGTAATTCACAATTCAATCATTCATTTTCAATTATCTTAATCTTAGTGATAAAAGAAATTCCACACCAAGAAATCCAACCGGAAATCACAATCACAAACTCTCCATAAACAATTTCAACAAGATTTTCACAACCAAAAACTTTTAGCAAGAATTTCACCAGAGAATCCCCAACAAGGGTCTCACACAATAAATTCAACCAAAGTTTTACAACAAGGAGTTTTCAACAAACACTTCATCAATAACTCACAACAAGACATCCAACGATAAATTCACAACCAAACACTTATCATCATCTTTCAAATCAGCAGTTACCACAGTCAACAACAATGCACATAAGTCAAGTAGTTAACTCACACAAATTTCACAAAGAAGCATGTAAGGTCATACCCTAGGCCGCAGAGTTGACATATGCTCTGATACCATATTGTAAGGACCCGATTTTCATAACTCGAAAATTCTCTTTTAAAATCCTTATTCGTGAAAGTGAAGTGATTACTTTTGAAAGACATTACTCGAACAGTTTGGAAACTTGAGAGAATACGTTTATAAATTTGCAAGGCGGAAATATTCCAAACACCCTTCATTTCAAAAGCATGTCATTACACTTCCGTTCAAATACATCATTTATACAATTACACTTTCTCAAAATTACCTTGAATACAAACATTAGATCCACTTCAATATACACTTACAGGAAAGTTGTTTATACATGAATTTACTTTAACATGTTCTTCATATTACAAATATTTATCATATAACATATCAATTACATATTATCCGCTACTCTATCATGTACTCTTCTCCGCAAGCGTCCAATGCGCTACCTCCACAACCTGAACCCAGATATACAACACAAACAAGGAAAGACAGAGGGAGTAAGAACCAACTACGGCGACCGTAGCGTGGATTTACATGGAGTAATGACATTAAAGTATTAAAACCACACACATCTAACATCATCATGATATGTATATATCAATCAACACATATTATCCATATTCACCCTATAGTACACATATATCCCATACTATATGTGTTCTATAGTGTACATATTTATTCATCGCATTTTATCCATATTCACCTTATAGTACACATACATCCCATATTATATGTGTTCTATAGTGTGCATACTTATTCATCGCATTTTATCCATATTCACCATATAGTACACATACATCCCATACTATATGTGTTCTATAGTGTGCATATTTATTTATCGCGTATTATCCATATTCATCCTATAGGATATACATCCCATAATATATATCCTATGACATGCATATGATTTTCATTCCGAGTATACACTTTTCACATCCTTCACATTCCATAATAATTTACCCTTGATCTCATTCAACAATTCTGCACCGTACAAATAATCACTTTTATAGTCACAGCGATGAGTGTAATCGATTACCATATGGTGTAATCGATTACAATATGAAAAATTACATATGTCTGATAAGATATCAAAATGTAATCGATTACCAGTACCATGTAACCGATTACATCACGAAAAATTACACATATCTGATCAGATATCAGTATGTAATCGATTACCAGGATTGTGTAATCGATTACACTGTTTCAGAGTGCCCAAAATTGTCATTTCTCGCCCAGACAACTCTCTCTCAGGCGAGACTTCCAGGACTGATACTATAATTTTGAAGACTCAAATTTAGGGTGTTACACTTAGTGCAAGTACAAAAGAATCATGTTTGTCATCACTTTTTGAGAATATTATGTTCTTTATTCCATTAGAAAACGTTAACAATCATGAAACATTAATTGTTCATTTTAGAACAACTATGAACTATTAATGAGACTGTTGAAGTATAAAAGAAAATCAAGCTGAAAAGAAGTTCAATATATATTAATTTCAAGAAGAAGCTCCTACTGAACTTAAACAACTACATTAAATGCATCATCTATAAATAAAATCAACATTGAAGAATAAAACATGTGAGAATACGCGAAAAAATATGAAAATAATTTAAAAACTCTTAGTGCAAGTACAAACAAATCTTGTTTGTCATCAAATTTTGAGAGTATTATGTTCTTTCTTCCATTAGAAAACATTAACAATCATGGAACATTAAATGTTCATTTTAGAACAACTATAAATTATTAATGAGACCGTAGAATTATATGAGAAAATCAAGTTGAAAAGAAGATAAATCTCAACATATATTAATTTAAAAAAGAAGCTCCTATTGAATTTTAATAACTACATTAAATGTCTCATCTATAAATAAAATCAACATTGAAGAACATAAATATGAAACATGTGAGAATACGAGAACAGTGTGGAAATCATTTAATATCATCCAAAAATGATATTTTTGTGTTCAAGACTCTTTAGTGTATAAGATCCTTCTGTGTTCAACACCCATCAGCTTTCAAGACATGTCTCAAGCTTCATAAAATCCATTGAACAAGAATGATTCTTTAGTATGATTCACATTTAATGTCAAGAATCCAAAATTTAAGTATCAATAGTTAATATCATCAATTAGAGAAGAATGAAGGATCAACATAATTGAATCAATGAGTAAAATCCTAGATAACATCTCTAAAGATGTTTTTCAAATCCAGAAAAAACTATCTCGTGGACAAAGCTCATTTGGTCCATATGCTTTTGCTGAAAGCAAAATGCACTTTATTAGTGCAAAAGGAAATTTCTTAGTGCAAGTACAAAAGAATCATGTTTGTCATCACTTTTTGAGAATATTATGTTCTTTCTTTCATTAGAAAACATTAACAATCATGAAACATTAAATGTTCATTTTAGAACAACTATGAACTACTAATGAAACTGTTGAAGTATAAGAGAAAATCAAGCTGAAAGGAAAATAAGTCTCAACAAATATTAATTTCAAGAAGAAACTCTTACTGAACTTCAACAGCTACATTAAATGCATTATCTATAAATAAAATCAACAATGAAGAACATAAATATGAAACATGTGAGAATACGCGAATAGTATGAAAATCATTTTAAAACTCTCATTTATTACGAACATTCAATTCATTTTTTATTAAATAACATTTGATCTTAATTGATAATTTGTGTTTAATCATTTACTATTAATTTCATAGTTGTTATCTTTCATATTTATAGCATTATAAGAGTATTGTTGAAAGACTTGAAAATTTGTAAAATTCTTTTTAAGACATACCATTGACCTGAAGAGGCTAGATGCGAAACATACTCCAGTTGTTGAGCCATGAAAGGCTATATGCATAAAGAATGCTTGATGCTATAATTAGTGTTTAATTATAGTGGAATCTTGGTACTATCATGAAACTGGATGTAATCTATATTTTTAGGTGAGCCAATATAAGTACTTCTTTCAATCTTTTATTTCTTGATTTTTTAAGCTTATATACTTGTGTTCCTAAAACATATTTTAAACTAGTTTTTATAGGATGCGATAGTCGTCTGAAATTTTTTTTGAAAATAAAAATAGTCAATTATCTGAACTTTTACCTATAATTAAAATTGTTTTTTGTATGCCAAAAATATTCAATTGCACCACTAAAATTTGGTAAACAAAACTCAACTCCCTTCTTATCTTACTTTTAATTATTTAACTTTATAGGATCATCATCTTTAATCTTTCTCTTGTTGGTCAACAACTCTTTCAATGAATTTAACACAAGTGGGAATTTATTCTAAGAGCTTAGCAAATGGATGAAGTTCTTAATAATTATTTAAAAGTAGGTACCTTGGGTGAAGTCACAAAAAGGCACCAACTTAGAAGTAGAGCAAGTTGATGTTGGAGAGATAATGGTTTGATTTAGTAATTGATGAAGATCAATAATGTGTATAAAAAAAGAAAATGCTTGAACAAACCTCCTCACTTAATGCTAGAACACTATATGAATTGACATTTAGCTTTGATGGTATGTATAACAATTTTAATAATTTTAAAAATTCATAAATTACTTAAAATAAAGAAAATTATCATCTCATACTTTTTTATACCATTTTTGCTCATACTTTATAATCATTGGTCTTCATTTCAAGGAAAGATGTGCTTACTCCTCATTTTCTAATTCTAGATTTGATCTCGTATTTTTTGTCCTCTCATGCTATATATGTTCTTCTCTTCTTTTTCGCCTTCTCTTAGAATGTCTTTTTCTTTTTTATGGAAGGACAATCAACTTTAATGTGTCCAGGCCTCCCGCATTCAAAGCATCTGAAATTTTATCATCATATTGATGCTTCATTGCTCTTCATGAACCTTTTAACTTGAATAAACTTTGCGGCCTTGTTTTTCCTTAGAAACATATTGAACTTCTTTACAAGAAGATTCATGTTCTCTATATTGCCGTCATATGAGTCTTTGTATTGTGAAGTTTCATAAGAATATACTCTGTCTTTTAAGTAAGTAATGTTGCCCTTCTTCTTCAATTCTTCTTGTTGCTCCAATTGGTTTAAATCTAATTCATGTTCCTGCAATTTGTCAAACAGTGCAGTCAAAGACATTTTTGATAAACTTTCCTTTTCAGAAATTGTTATCACTTTTAGTTGGCACACTCTCATTAGTGATTTAAGAACTTTTATGTTCAAGTCATTATTTAACGATACTTTTCCCAGAGCAATTAAGTGATTTGTTAAGTGTGTGTGAATCTCTTTTGTAGGTCTAGGATTTTCTTTCCTGCTTTCATATTAAACATTTCATACTCTCGTGAAAGAGTATTAGCCTATATCTTTTAACTTCTTCCATTACCACATGAGTTGTTTCTAAAGTGTTCCACATTTTTATTGTTGATTTGCAATTTTGACACTATGAGAAACTCATCTATTCCTATGTTGTTTTCTTATCTTCATACTTCCATACTCCCCTAGACTTCGATTGTTTAGCCCCATCAACAACTATGTTGGGGAAAACGACCCTTTTTCTATAGCATTCCATATGTCCAAGTCTTGAGACTCTAAAGATTCTCCTTCTTATTTTTCAGAAATCATAGCATTCTCTAACAAAACTTGAAGGTCGATTTATGTTAGAATCTTCGCCTAAAGGGTTTAGAAGATTCCATCTATGTGTATTTTAAAACAAGATCTAGGAAAAAATTACCAAACATTTACTCTAGTGTCAATTGTAAACACAAGATAGCAACCTAAGTAGAGTGAATTAGATTTCCAACATATATGCTCTTTTGAAACACATTAAAACATAATTACAAAGGAAGCAAAATTATGAAAAACAAACGCTAGAGAAATTTAAAGAGTAAGAGTTAGAGATAATCACACTGCGATACATACTAGTTCAACTTCATCAACTAAAGCCTATGTCCAGTTCCCTTTACTTGATTCAAGGGATTTCCAATATATTAATATGAGTTTCTATTACAAGTTTCACACTTAGACTCTTTTCAAGGGATTTCCAAACCTTATGGTGATCTATTTTGAGAAGTAGAAGAAGACTTTATAAGGCTAAGCATCACTAAACCCAATCTAGTCGATGTATGGATCCTTTATAAGAACACTCAAACTTAATAACACACTTTGTTTTTGATTTTTCAAAAATTTCAAAAAGTGCATAAAACCTTTTCTGAAAAACTTAGAAAAATCGAATGCACAAATATGTAAATTTGCTTTGCGAAAGTGTTGTTCATTTTAGACATTTACGGTGGTAACTTTTGTAGGATTCCAAGATCCATTCCAAGAGGTACAAAATGTTTGGGAAGACAATGGTTCGTTTGGATAGGTAATCGTTGAGTTTCAAATTTTAAACAACACTTCCAACCTACAAAAATAGGTTTATGTGTCATGGTAATCGCTTACTGGACTTTATTGTCCAACAGAGTAATCAGTTACCCACTTACACTAATTGATTACTGACCCTTTTCCCTAATAGGTAGCATGTTACCCTGTTTCAAGTAACTTGTTACTTGGATTTCTAAAAACTTATTTTTAGGACCATGTAACACTTTTTTCATCCTTTTAAAACATTATAAATCATTTGCAAAAACATTTTAAAGAGCTTTATGTAAGATTAAAATAAGAGTAACTATAAAGGTAAGATTTGTACTAGAAAGCAATTTTAAATCTTATCTATAATCTTATGTTTTCGATACTTCAAAGTCTTCAACTTTTTTCTAGTGAATGAGTGAACATATACATCATATTGCCTATTGGTGCTTACTAATACAAGGTATCAAGGCCTTATTTAAGTGTAGAACATGAGAGAACAAGGTTGGTTTTGTGGTATGAAGGGATTAGAGCGAAAAGTAATGGAAACTCAATCAGACCTAATCCCAATGTATCCACCATTGTGACATATAAGAATTGTGACATATAAGCTATGGTCAAACACCGTGTATATATTTATATAATATCATGTTTGTATTATGTCTTAGTTCCCACATATCTTTATCCACTTTGTGTGGTATGCTACTTATCTTTTTACTTACTTTAAAGATAACTATATTTTAAGGTGGTTTTTAGTATAATGAATGTTTTGACATTTATGGGAATCTTACTTAGAATGTTAAAACAATGCAAACAACAACAAGTCAAGAAGGAACATAAGGCTAAGGAGGAAGAACAGAAGACTCTACTTCAAGGCATGGAATCTGGACATCATGGACATAGTGACTCAATCAAGAAATATGAAAAAGAAGCAGTGGATTTAAGTCACGAAGAGAAGAAGAAGGAACCAAAGGAGATTGATGTTCAGAATACTTCTCAAGTTCACTCAGGCTTTTCATCAAACACTTATCATTTGACCAAAGAGATTTCTTGCACTAAAAGCAACATCTTTAACACGTGATCAATGTGTTTTTCATTTAGTTTTCAGCTTCAAGTTTGTTGGCCTTGGCAGTTGAAGTAGTTAGGATTTTTTGGCACGTTTTTATTTCCTCTTATCTTTGTATAAATAAGTGTACATTGCTTGGGTTCAATAATGAATGAAATATATTCTTTTTCTTATGCAAGTTTTCACTATTGTGTTCATTTTCTACTTCTTTTCTCTTCTCTGCCAAAATGGATTGTGAAGTTTTAAGATGGTATCAGAGCATCTTTTGATGCTCTGTTGTGCCTCTACATCTGTTACTTCTCTTTCTTTTCTTTTTACTTAGCTTCATCTTCTTTCTTTCCTGCTTCCATTAAAAAAAAAGCTGCAGCAGTACCATGGCTATCATCAACCCTCTAACAGATCCATCAAACATTTATTACATGCATCCTAATGATGGTCCTAACATCACTTTGGTAAAGAACCAGTTGATAGGTTCAAATTATCATCCTTGGTCAAGAGATATGTAATGGCACTCAAAACAAAGAACAAACTACCTTTTATAGATGGCACCATACCAAGACCAAAACCAGAAGATCCCATCTTTGGAGCATGGGATAGATGCAATACTTTGGTGTTGGCTTGACTGAACCATTCAATAGATCAATCCATTGTGCATAGTGTGCTTTGGCTTGAAAATGCCTATGAGATATGGAAATATCTCAAGGAAAGATACTATCATTGATAGGTACTTTACCCATTTGAAAGGATTATGGCAAGAATTAGATGACTTCATGCCTATACCCTCATGTGTATGCCTTACCCCTTGTTCTTGCACATTAGTTCCCACTATCAAATCCTATAGGGAAAGAAACTATGTGTTTAGGTTCTTGAAAGGATTAAATGATCAATATTCTAGTGTAAGGTCCCAAATCATGATGATGGATCCCATTCCTAGTTTGAACAAAGTCTTTTCTTTGCTTATGCAACAAGAAAGACAAATAGCACCACCCCTTGATGAACCAATGATTTTCAGGAGTGCCTCTGATAATTCTGCTACAAGAGGAAGATTTAGAGGTAGAAGCTCCAAAGGTTCCTATGGACAGACTAGAGCAGGTAGAGGTTATGTGTTTAATGGTGGAAGAGGAAGAGGATCCAACACAAAAATCTGCACTTTCTGTGACAAACCAGGCCACACTATTGATATTTGCTACAAGAAGCATGGTTATCCACCACACTATGGTAAATCCAACAGCAATAGCAACAATGTGATTATTGTGCAAAATGACAATGTGGGAAATTCATCAAACAATGAAGATAGGATCATGGTATTCACGCAAGACCAACATAGAGCAATCTTGGATATGCTTAGGAACCAACTAGCCAATCTTCAAGTCAAGTTAATACCATATCCATGCCAGAAACAAGTAAGCATTATGTAGCAGGTAATTCCCCTAATTCTTCAAACTGTTTCCATAAGAATGATTGGATCATTGATATAGGAGCAACATATCACATTTGTCACTCTCTATCAATGTACCATTCATTTAAGAAAATTGACCCTA